GATTATTTCAGCAATATTTACTTATATCCATCGAAGAATCTTATATATCTGACATTGTAGGTCCATGTTTACCATTTATGGCCAACTGTTGTATGAAACGCGCCCACTGTGCAGCGTATCATTACGCGGCCCATTCAAAGTCACTAGCACTAGTTATGCACTATGTCGTACAGCCGATACAACGACACACACATATACAGAAGAACATAATCAAGAAACTGCACTTGTTCAAACGGGCTGAGGGGAGAAGACATTCTTTCAGGCGTTCACTCATACATTCCACGCTCGACCAAGCCAGGGCAGTAGGCAAGCTCGAAACGGCAAATGGACTTGGCAGCCAAAGAAGAAAAAGAATAAGGAGAAGAAGAAGAAGAGTATAAGTTTAAGTGTAAACATAGTTGAGATAGCGAACAGAGTTCAGTGTTTGCTGATGGGCGCAAGTTAACGTTCTAAACGAGCGGCGAAACAAATATCATAAAGGCTTAAAAATTTCAATTTCCTTAAAATATAGTGTTAAAAATTATCCTTAAATGAAAAATGTTAAACTGAGAAATAGTGCAAAAAAAAATAAAATTTGTCCTTAAAAGTAAAAAAAAATTAAACTTTTTTCACAACAAAATAAACCAAAAACTACTTAACATAAAGATGAATGTAAAAATATCCTCTTTGCGAATATAATAAAAAAAAATATCCTGCACACCTCCTTGCGTACAATGCAACAGTGCAATTCCTGCAACATCGCGCACAAAATGTGAAAAATTTATCTTATTTCTGTGTACAACGAAATCGAAAACAACAAAAAACAAAATCGAATTTCATACACCATTCAACATGTCGCACACATCCGATTGCAGTATTTTAGATAATTTAACAACCTCCCAACCGCAGCTGCTAACGCGTTGCAGCAGCACCGACAGTGGCAGTCAACTCATCCTAAACTGCCAGAGAAATGCAGACGGTGGCATACGCAACACAGGCTTCGTGGACAATTTTGCGGTACAGCGTCGTCACTCTGAGTATGTGGAAGCCTACGTGGATATGTTGCACGATGGCAGTAGTAATGTGAATGTACGTCGCGCGCGACCAGTATCCTGTTTTGTGCAAACGAAACTCACCAAGAATGGCTGTATCAGTGCTTTACAGCAGCAGCAGCAGCAACGGCAACGGCAACCGCTAAATTGAGGTCAATTGCGGCAGGGATTTGCTGCAACAATGGCGGCCTGGTTGAAACCAATGAAGTAGGCATAAAAAGGGTTTTAAAGTTTGATTTAATATGTATATATACATACATACATAACTAATGTGGTGGGATTTTGAAGTTACTATAAAGTGGTGGACAGAAAATTCCAAAAGAAAAGTATGTTTTAAATTTTTATTGCATTTTATTTTTATAGTCATTTGAGTAAACAGGATTTTTAGGACCTAAAACCTTAATAAACGCAAAAAAAACATATCGAAACAGACAGGAAAAGCCACATTAAATACTAAAAGAGGCAACAAAATTTGAAAAATAGGCAAAAAATACATTTACAGTGCGCGAAACAAGTCTACGTACAGAGGATTTTCCGCAATGAATACAAAGTTGTTTATGCTAATTTTTTTCGCTGATGTTTTATAAAATTATAGTTCATACAACTACAAAAATCATAAAACTAAAACTTCTAAACTTTGTGCATAACTCAGGAAAATTCAATAAATTTCCATAAAGATTTGCAAATTTTTAAATTGGTTTTCTAGAACGATTTTAAATATGCAGTTTGGTAGCCCTAATGGAAACCTAATTAAAAATTAGCATAAAAAAACTTTGCATGAATTGCAAAAAAATCTCTGTACGTAGAATTTTGTCGCCCATTATACATTAATAAGTTCATTTAAAAAGTAAAACCAAAAAATATTAAATACATAGTTCCATCACATAAAAAACTTGTACTTTGACTGACTATTTTAGTGAGAGTTTTTTCAGTTGTTTTCATTCTAGTTTTTAACTCAAAAATAGCGTTGTAGTTACATTAAACCACAATATGCATCTTGAAGTTTTTGACCAACACTTTCGTTCAGGGACCGTAACCGTTAGGATCTTTACAATCAAAATCAAAATTTAACAGTTAAAATATAGTTTCTATAGTAAAACTCCGCTTTAGTTTTTTCTCTCTTTTTAGGACTTTGTGGTTTCAAATATAGGACTAATTCCAAAAATTATTTTAAAAAATTTAGTACAATATAGAATAATAATTTGGATACCAAAGCTTTCAGTTCACAAGGATGAATACATTCTGAAAATGTACTTTTAATTAATCTTATTTTTATAAGTGTATATTAATTCTTAACATATAGATTTTTCAAAAATAAGTATTGCAAAATTTCAAGGATATTCAAGGATAAAATTTCAAAAGAACATTTTCAATACCTACTCGTCCTTACGTACCAAAAAATTTAATCTGCTCTAATTCTTAAGAATTTTATATTTAATTTGGTGCCCATACTGTTTTTCTACGTTGCTATGGCTATTCAAGTGAATCAAAATAATAAGCAGATTTTATAAACAACTTAAAAAAAGGTACTTCGAAATTGATCATTCTTCAAAATAAGATTAAAAGGAAGCTTATATGATGCCTACAAGTTCAGATAGTTATAAGCTCGGATCTTGAGGAAAAAACATATGCTTATCAAAAGTCCCTTGGATGTCGCGAAAGGCACCTACAGTAAATTATTTATGTGCTGCGGCTTTCTGTATCGACTTTACGATGGCATGCAGGCCGACCTCGACGGACTCTGCATTAATGTGTGCATGTTGAACTCCCAACAAGCGGGCATAAGTAATCCTGTTTCTAATAAGTAGATCAATCATCCTCTCCAAAAGCGATGTTGGGAATGGTTTGAAATCACTGGAAAAAATGTAGGAACTTTTCCCAGCATTTAGAATCAATGTTACCCTGACCACTTTCCATGCTCCGGGCCACCGCCAAGGTCTTTTGCAACTGGACGGGTATAATGCCATCAGGTCTTGCTGATTCGCTTGAGGGGCATGAAAGAGTTTATGGTACAGGAAGGAGATGGTTATCCATCAGGTCATATATGGCAGTTTCGAAATCTACTTTCCCCAGATGGTAGGTGCCTCTTGGGACTGGGTCGCTTGGAAAGTGAGCATCGAGGAGTAATTTGAGGGATTCCGCGCAACTCAATGTCCAATTTCCCGCCTCTTTCCTCACATATCCCAAAGGAGCAGTTTCCAATTTATGTTTTTTAAATTTCCCAACTACAGAGTAACGTAGAATCACGTGCTTGACGGCATAATATCAGAGAGCTCGGATGTCCACCAAAGGAGCTTCGCTCTGTCCTGGAATGATCTGACGGAACATGGAGTTTCCAGATCACCTCTGCTAGCAGTAATGAAAGCCTCGACAGGTTCATCTTCCGAGCTTTCGAATAGAGTCGGGTCTTCGTCAGGTGGCAGTGGGAAAACTGTACGCGGATCCCTACAGTTGAGATACCAGTTGTTGGACGATGTGTGTGTGTGTTGAATGTGATCCAAAAACGAGTGATCGTTGAGAACTCTCAAGTCTGGAATGTAAGCAGAACCAGAACCAAGCTCTGATGGAGATATATGTAAGCCCTGCTACAGGTTGCTAAATCTTTGCTTTTAATAAAACCAAGATGTGACTTAACTTTCATAACTAGCACAGAAACTGTGCTGTGAGTTTTAATTTTGTCCAAGCGAAGCTCATATTTCTGAGCCTAGCCTCAGATGAAGCTCTACCTCACCATAATGATCATTGAAGGCGGATATCAGTCATAGTTTTCAGGCCACGCTCTCCACACTGATTGCCTTTATGTCTCCCAGAAAAAATACGCGGCACCATTCTAAAGAATCCTCCCTCTCCGGTTTACCCCATCTGGCACCGTCTTGTTAGACCTTAAGTACTACCTTTTTGAACCCATAATTTATTACCCTCTCAGCGATAGCACCGAGAGACTCTGCATTAAGGATTATCTATGCTAATCTATAGGGTTCATCTTCTCGCGCCCATTAGCCATTCATTCGAACACCGGAAGGTTAGGAATGTAGTTTCTGAGGATTTCCTTAGTTTCGTCTTAGAAAACATCTTCGACAGGAAAGGTACCTCTTCACGACTTCAAGCTTATCTTCCAACCAAATTTCTTTAACCGTCACTGCTTTTGGAAGATGGGGTTTTACCGCGCTCCCTGACACCTAGGACAACGTAGTCGATCTGTCTTGTGACTTCAATGAACAGCTTTGAAGCAACTCCAGCCCGGAACCGTGAGTTCTTCGTCCGACTCTCTCCTATTTTGAGAGGAGAGAAGATTTCGCCACACAACCGAGAGGACTCTTCCCAAGAAGGAACCAGTTTTTGGACTCAGTTTCAACGATCTCTGCCGCTAAAATTACTCTGAGGCCTGCCTGGGTTTCAACGGGACAGAACATAGATGAGAGAATACCGCCACCGCCACCGCCAATTCAGGATTCGATAAATGCCAAACGTGGCATAAAATCTTAGTCCATATAATGAAAACAGGATCGTTGTCACTTCAGTTAATAGAAGGCTGCAAAATTATTATCCAATCAATTTTACTACGAGTCACGGTATATGAAAATCTTCTGCAGATTAAGTGCTTAAGTTTAATACCTTAATTTTTCATAAAAAGTTGAAACTTTAAATTTCTTTAAACAAAAACTTATTGGAGTTTGAGTAGCGCGTTCGAAAACGAACGATGGGTTATAGTTTGCTGAGGCCTTGAAAGAGCGTTTCAACAGACAAATTTTCTTAATTAAAAACATTGCATTTAACACTTTATTATTTTTTTGTGTTATGACATTCTCCCGTGTAACGATCGCCGATTCAATGATTTCAGAATTATTAAAACGTTAAAAATAGGGGCTGGAATTTTTTCTCAATATTTTCTTCATTCAACAATTATTTTATACACATAAAATTATATCACTAATCCTATAATTTCTGTTTTACTTTTCTATTTTCCAGCTCACAAAGCAATCTTTGCAATGGTGGCATTCCCAGTCAGAATCATATACTCGCATCGAAAATAAAAAATAATTGCAGTCCAAATGGCCAGAAGAAGGGCACCGTTACGCTGTCACATCTGCCACAGCGACCACCTGTCGATATTGAATTCACTGAAATATCCTATTCAGTGTCAGAAGGACGAAGGCGTGGCTTAAAGACTATACTCAAAAGTGTTTCGGGCAAGTTTCGCAATGGCGAACTTACTGCCATTATGGGACCGTCCGGAGCGGGGAAGAGTACACTTATGAACATTTTAGCTGGCTACAAGTAAGTATGATTAGTAGATAGTTATGTATAGTCTTTTTAAAGGTATGTATGTAACTACAGTAAAACAAGGCGCAGGAATGCTAAACAAGTTTTAAGAACTTTCAGAGGAGAATTTTGAGAAAGAGAATGTCCCAATGTCCAAGTCAGCAGCTTTAAGAATACTTGCGTTAAAGTTTACCAAATCCAATAAGCCGCAAGTAATTATGAAGACTTAAGCCACCAGCCGCAAATATGCGTGAATCCTGCATTCACAATACGCCAGGACGATAGGGTGGCCGGCCTGTAGTATTATTAGTTACTTTCTATTTTTATGGCTTCCTCTTCTTCATTCGTCAGCATAAAGCTCAAAATTCGATTATTACTTTCTTTACTTTTTTCTTTTCTTTTATTTTCCTTAGCCCAAATTCAAGTTGCCGCGTGCCTTCGACACTTGTTTAATTCCTTCACACCACAACTCACATTATTATATTGCCGCTATTTATCGCTCATTTAGCTGCTCTATTTCGCATTTGACATTCTTCGAATATTTTCTGATTTGTTTCCATTGCTGTTTAGTGTCGTGGAGTACGTGAAAATACGTACGTACATAAGTATAAAAATGTATGCCAATATTAATCCGTAGCCTCTACATCGTATCCTTTTGATACGTCGTCGTACACAAGTGTTTGTGCATGAATGGCACTTGTCGCAATATTAGGTTCCTTTTGAGTGGAGACAAAGCTATTCAAATCCATTGTTGCCTTTTATGTTTACTTGCTTTGTATGCCAAGTGATTTATTGACAACTTCGAGATTCATTCATTCATATAAGTAATAAGTCGACATCTTAATAAGCGCCATGATCCACCTACCTAATGAGCGAAATTTCGGCAAATTCTCTATTGTGTGAGTAGATTTTCACTATGGTGCCTTAGAAATATGAAGCGTATGCATCCATTTTTTTGGCATCTAAAATTTAAAGCTACTAAAGCTCACAAGTGGCTCTGCTACTTATCAAAATATTTTCATAAGATTGCGCCGAGGTGCTTAGTCCATAGTCTAGCGAATGCCGGGCAGCTGAGAAGTAAGGCTGAGATGATTCTACCTCGTCTTCCAAACAGCTGCGGCAGTAGGTATACGTGACGATGTTAAGTCGCACCGCGTGGGTTGCTAAAGGACCATGTCCGGCCAGACTTTTGCAGTGAATTTCACCAGACAATGACCCCATATAACAGATTGGCTTGATTATGGTTTCATACAGCGATATTCCCCATGGCATTTTTACTACAATACAGAGACATCGTTGCATTTTTTACTCACTCCTCACTTTTTGACTTCCACGATAACTCCCGTCCAGGATCACGCCAAATAACTTGACCTGTCAAAGAGAATAAGTGGAAGACCCCCGATTGAAGGAAGCCGGGCATGAGGCACTTTGTACCTCCTGGTTAATAGTACGAGCTCCGTCTTTCCAGGATTTATTACAAGGCCGCAGCTAGCGGTCACATTTGTGACCAAGTTTAAGTACCCCTACAACAGATCATACGGAGTGTCAGAGAATTTTCTTCTGACAATTTGTATTGTATTGTATTGTATTGTATTTTCTTTATTTCTCAATATATCTTCACAACTTTGCTAAATATTACATAAATACGTATGCTAAAGCCTAAATGAGAAATAGTTAATGGCATGTGATGTTCGTTGAAAGAACAGAAGTGATGGCTTTTCATTCATATTGTATTATAAAAATGTTGTGGGGCGCATAAAGATAATACTTATTTGTACAAAATATAATACACGCATTTGTGATAAATAAGTAGAATATTACATAGGAAAAATGATGTGTAATTTAAATACTTAAATCAATATTAGGATATTAGTAAAGAGCAACCAAATGAAATTATGTAATAGGTCGTAGCAGAATCTCAATATCTTCATGATTGAAACCAAAAAGCCACAATTTTATTTCCTTTTGAAATACAAATAGACTTCTAATAATTTGGATCTCGTTAGGGAGTTTGTTAAAAAGTTTACATGATAATGTGGTGTAGAAGTTGCGGAAAAGCGTGGTGCGAAAGCCAGGAACCGAAACATGAGAAAAGGAGTTGCTTCTTAAACTATAGGGTATGTATATAGGACTTCGTATGTATCCGCTCCGTAAAAAAAAAATTGGTTAAACTTTGAAATAGTACATGTGTCGCACGGGAAGAATATTCAGTTTTTTAAACAGATGCATAGAATGCGCTAGACGGTCAGCGTTACACATTCTTCGGATGAGAGACTTCTGCAAAATTAATATCGGACGGATCTTACTAGTATATGCACTACCCCAACAACTTATCCCGTATTGTAGTTTAGAGTGGATTAGTCCATGATACACGGTTCTTAGTATTCTATTTGAGCACAGTTTTTTTTAGATAATAGAAAGAACGAACTGTTGATAACAAATATTGCTTCATGGCGGAGATATGTGATGACCAACTTAAATTTTGGTCAGTTATATCCCCTAAATACTTGGAGTTAGAAACAACTTCGATGACAAAGCATTTACTGTCACAAATTGTTTTCTCGTCAAAAGTAGCTATAGATTTTTGCTGAACACATTTATTGCTGCATAACTTATGCCGCATACAATTACGGGCATGAAAAACAACTTCATTACTGGGTATTTCCTTGCCACAAACGCTAAAATACAATAATTTTGTTTTGCTGCTTACCACGAGTTTATGACTAGCAAACCAGGATCTTAGCAAATAAACATCGTGGTTGATATCAACAAAGAGATTAAATGCATTGTTCGATCCATATGCAATCGCAAGGTCATCAGCAAAAGCTGTAACTTTTCCCATAAAAGGCAGCGAAAATATGGAATATTGATATGACGCAGGATGCCGATTCATCATAATAAGTCTCAGACAAATTG